TCTCTCCAGTGTATTGTGTATTGCAATATAAAGTAGTCTCTCAGCTGGGCATGGTGGCTCATACCTGTAATCCCAACACTTTAGGAGGCCGAGGTGGGTGGATCACTTGAGGTCAGGAGTTTGAGACCAGCCTGGCCAACATGGTGAAACCCTGTCTCTACTAAAAATACAAAAAACTTAGCTGGGCGTAGTGGGTGCATACCTGAAATCCCAGCTACTCGGGGGGCTGAGGCAGGATAATCGCTTGAACCCGGGAGACGGAGGTTGCAGTGACCCAAGATCATGCCACTGCACTCCAGCCTGGGGTCTCAAAAACAACAACAAAAAGTAATCTCTTACAACTCTTGCATATTTTTCCTGGTATTTAATACAATATCATAAACCTAGAATAACACCATGAAACCCATACAAGGTGCCATTGGTGATGCTGGAAGTGTTCCCAAGAAGCAGAGAATGCTCATGACATTACAAGAAAAAATTGAATTGCTTGATATGTACTGTAGACTGAGGTCTACAGAGGTAGTTGCTTGCTGTTTCAAGATAAATGAACTCTTTTTTTTTTTTTTTTGAAATGATATCTTGCTCTGGCCCGGCCAGATGAATCATTTTTGAGAGTCTGAGGCAGGAGGATTGCTTGAGCCCAGTAGATAGAGACCAGCCTGGGAAAAAAAATAAAACCTTGTCTCTAAAAAAAAAAAAAAAAAAAAACTTTTTTTTAAGATAAATCCAGCATAAGAACCAATTGTGTAAAAAAAAAAAAAAAAAGAAGAAAATTCATGAAGTTGTCACTGTAGCCACGCCAACAGGCGCAAAAACCTTGCACTTTTTGCCAAATGCCTTTTTATGTGCATAATATGCAGCTTTTATGTGGGTACTATAAGAAAGGCATACCTATTGACTCTAATATGATTTGAGAAAAAGCAAAGTCATTATATGGCAACTTAAAGCAAAAAGGTGGTGAAGGATCTAAAGCTGGAGTATTTAATGCCAACAAATGATGGTTTGCTGATTTTAGAAAGAGGTTTGGCTTAAAAAATGTCAAGATAGGCTGGGTGCAGTGATGCCTGTAATCGCAGCACTTTGGCAGTCCAAGGTGGGTGGATCATTTGAGGTTAAGAGTTTATGACCAGCCTGGCCCACATGGTGAAACCCCATCTTTACAAAAAATACAAAAATTAGCCAGGCGATGGTGGCCCACACCTATAATCCCAGCTACTTGGGAGGCTAAGGCAGGAGCATCGCTTGAGCCTGGGAGGCGGAGGTTGTGTGAGCCGAGATCCTGCCACTGCACTCCAGCCTGGGTGACAGAGTAAGACCCAGTCTCAAAAACAAAAACAAAACGAGATACAGGAGAAGCAGCTTATGCTAAGAGGCAGCAGATGAATTCTCAGACACCATTAAGAAAATCACCGAAGAGAAAGGATATCTGCCTGAACAGGTATTTAATGCAGATTAAGGTACCCTATTTTGGAAAAAAAAAAAAAAAAAGCCACAAAGGACATTAATAGTAAGGAAGACCAACCTGGGCAACATGGGAAACTCTGTCTCTACAAAAAATAGAAAAATTAGCTGGGTGTGGTGGCGCATGCCTATTGTCCCTGCTACTCAGGAGTCTGAGGTGGGAGGATTGCTTGAGCCTGGAAGATTGAGGCTGTGATGAGCTATGACTGCACCACTGAACTGTAGCCTGGGTAACAGAATAAGACTCTATTTCAGTTTTCAAAAAGGAAAAAAAAAAAAAGAAGAGAAGCAAGTACCAAGATTGAAGGCAAGAAGAGATAGGCTAACTCTACTGTTTTATGCAAAAAACCCCAGCACTTTGGGAGGTAGAGGTAGGACGACTACCAAAGCCCAGGAGTTTGAGTCAGGTTTGTCATCAGAACTGCCCTTGTCTATAAAGCTGTTAACCCCCAGCCTCGAAGAGCAAAGATAAACACCAGCTACCAGTGTTTAGGTTGTGCAATAAGAAGGCTTAGACAACAAGAACCCTTTTTCTGGATTGGTTCCATCAATGCTTTGTCCCTGAAGTCAGGATTACCTAGTCAATAAGAGACTGCCTTTTAAAGTTATTTTGATATTGAACAATACTCTGGCCGCCCAGAGCCCCATGAGTTCAACACCAAAGGCATAAAAATGGTCTATTTGCGGCTGGGCATGGTGGCTCATGCCTGTAATCCCAGCACTTTGGGAGGCCGAGGCGGAGAGATCACCTGAGGTCGGGAGTTCCAGACCAGCCTGACCAACTTGAAGAAACCCCGTCTCTACTAAAAATACAAAATTCACCAGGCCTGGTGGCGCATGCCTATAAAGCCAGCTACTCGGGAGGCTGAGGCAGGAGAATCACTTGAACCTGGGAGGTGGAGGTTGCAGTGAACTGAGATCACGCCATTGCATTCCAGCCTGGGCAATAAGCGTGAAACTCTGTCTTAAAAAGAAAGAAAGAAAGAAGAAAAGAAGGAAGGAAGGAAGGAAGGAAGGAAGGAAGGAAGGAAGGAAGGAAGGAAGGAAGGAAGGAGAGAAGCAAAGAAGAGAAAAGAAAGAAAGAGGTCTATTTGCCTCCAAACAGTATTTCAATCAGCTACTACATCAGGGGGTGATAAGGACCTTTAAGGCTCATTACACACAGTCCTATATGGAAAATAGACTGTCAAAGCTATGGAAGAGAACTGCAATAGAGAGAACATCATGAAAGTTTAGGAGGGTTATACCATTGAAGATGCCATTGTTGTTATAGAAATAGCTGTGAAGACCATCAAGCCTGAAACAATAAATTCCTGCTGGATAAAACTGTGTCCAGATGTACATAAGACTTCACAGGGTTTATGACAGATAATTAAAATCATGAAAGAGATTGTGGATATGGCAAAAAAAAAAAAAAAAAAAAAAAAAGTGAGGGGTAAAGGGTTTTAAGATATGATCTTGGATAAATTCAAGAGCTAACAGACACCAAATCAGAGGAATGAACAGAAGATAACTTGATGGAGATGAGTGCCAGATGATGAGGAAAAAACACGTAGAAGAAGCACTGCCAGAAAACAGATCTGGCAGAAGGTTTTAATTATTTAGGAGTGCTTTTGACTTATTTTACAACATGGAACCTTCTAAGATATGTGCCCTGAAACTAAATCAAAGAAAAAGGATTGGTATTGTATAGAAACATTTTTAGAGAAATGAAAAAGCAAAAAAGTCAGACAGAAGTTGTATTTCCATAAAGTTACACCAAGTGTGCCTGCCTGTTCTGCCTCCCCTTCCACCCTCTTCTGCCTCTGCCATCCTGAGACAGCAAGACCAACCCCTCTTCCTCCTCCTCCTCCTCCTCAGCCTACTCAGTGTGAAGACAAGGATGAAGACCTTTATGAGTATCCATTTCCACTTAATGAATACTAAATATATTTTTGTTTCTTTATGATTCTCTTTTTCTTCTTTTTTCCCCCCTGCTTCCTGGAAAGGTTTTCTTAATAACATTTTCTTTACTTTATTGTAAGAATACAATATATAATATTACACTCAAAATATGTGTTAACTGAATATATTATTAGTAAGGCTTCCAGTCAGCAGTAGGCTATTAGTAGTTAAGTTTTAGGGAGTCAAAAGTTATATGCAGATTTTTGACTGCGTCAGGGGTCAGTGCCCCTCATCCTGGGGTTGTTCAAGGGTCAGCTGTACTAAGTGCTACTGTGCATTAGGCATTAAATTATGCAAATCAACTCATTTAACTCTCACAACAACTTTTTGAGGTTGGTGTTACTGTTATCTTAATTTTAGAGATGAAAAAAGTAAGGCACAGTTTTTTCTACGTTTACTAAAATAACTTGCCCAAGAGCACACAGCTAGCAAGTGGCAGACCCAAGCACTCTGGCTTCAGAGCCTGCTCTTTAAACCTGTACACCATACTGCCTGCTAGAGTCAAGTTGAATAGTCTATAAAGTCTCAAGTAGGTTTAGTTAAGTATTTTTAGTAGAGACAGGGTTTCACCATGTTGGCCAGGCTGGTCTCGAGCTCCTGACCTCAGGTGATCCGCCCTCCTCTGCCTCCCAAAGTGCTGGGATTACAGGTGTGAGCCACCATGCCAGGCCTGTGTTTACATTTATTTAACCCTCACAACAACCTACTAGATTGGGAAACCTGTGAAATAACTTGTTATTTTATAGAAGGGGAAATTGAAGTACAGAAAAGTTATATAATTTGCCAGCAATTACAACACGAGTAAGTGGAGGAGCCAAGACTTGAATGTTTTTTCTGTACTGTACAAGAGAGATACAAAGACCCCAGTATGTGTGCATCTACAGTATACACACATGCACAGGCACACTCACATTTCTGCACCTACCATCCTATAGTGCTTGTTGTTTATACAAGAGATCCAACGGTTTCATGGCTCTGGGTCTCAAACCTTCTGCAATAACAGAGTTGCCAGATTGAGCAAGTAAAAATAAAGAATGGCCAGGCATGGTGGTTTATGCCTTTAGCCCCAGTACTTTGGGAGGCCAAGGCGGGTGGATCACCTGGGGTTAGGAGTTTGAGACCAGCCTGGCCAACATAGTGAAACCCCATCTCTACTAAAAATACAAAAATTAGCCAGGTGTGGTGGCGCCCACCCGTAGTCCCAGCTACTTGGGAGGCTGAGACAGGAGAATCGCTTGAACCCAGGAGGTGGAGGTTGCAGTGAGCTGAGATCACACCACTGCAGTCCAGGTTGGGTGACAGAGCTAGACTCTGTCTCAAAAAATAATAATAATAAAATAAAGGATGCAGGCCAGGCACTTTGGCTCACACACCTGTAATCCCAGTACTTTGGGAGGCAGAGGTGGCACAGTTACTTGAGCCCAGGAGTTTGAGACCAGTCTGAGCAACATACTGACACCTCATCTCTAAAAAAGAAAAAATAAATAATAATAAAAAATTAAAGATGCTCAGTTAAATTTGAAGTTTAGATAAGCACCAAATAATTTTAAATATATCTATGCAATATTTGGGACACACTTAAGCTTAAAAATGTTTTTGGTGTTTATCTGAAACTCAAATGTAACTGGGCATCCTGTATTTTATCTGGCAACCCTACTAAGGAGAAAAATTCCTATTTTGTCTTTCAAGTTCTAAGTCAAATGACTATTCCTACATGAAGTCTTCAGTGATTTCTCTGGGTAGTTTGTTTTTCCCTTCTGTTCTTTTATAATCTCACCTGCATCTATCCATTATAATATGTATTACTCTGTAGGCGCCTGATCCTTCCCATTCCGACCTTTCATCTTTTGTGGGGAAAGCGTTTTATGTTCATCTCTGAATTCCCAACCTTGGAGATGTTGAATGATTGAAATGGTAATTGAATAAACATTTACTGAGAGCCAGTAGGTTTAAAAGGAGGAATGAAGGAGAACCAGCATTTATTAATTGCTTTCTATATGCTAAATATAGTGCTGATTGCTTACAATATTTAATGCCCCTTAGGCCTTATTAATAAAATGGACGGGCAGTCTTTGGCCGCAGGAAGATCACATTCTCCTGAGGCCTATAACATTTGGCATAAATAACTGATGCCATTCTAGTCTCTGTATCTCCTCTCTGAGAAAGCTGAACCTGGGCCTAGTTGGCGTAGAACTCCGGTTTCCATAGAAACAAGAGGGTCTGTAAAAGTCGAGGGAGACAGGAAGAGCAGTTTGCACTTCCGGCTTACGTCAGAGACGCGTACAACCCGGAAGTTGAGGCAGCGCGGTTGCTTATGGTCGCTCCCTGAGAGGATGCCGCTCGTGGTGTTTTGTGGGCTGCCGTACAGCGGCAAGAGCCGACGAGCTGAAGAGTTGCGCATGGTGCTGGCTGCTGAGGGCCGCGCGGTGTACGTGGTGGATGACGCAGCTGTCCTGGGCGCAGAAGACCCAACCGTGTATGGCGATTCTGCCCGTGAGAAGGCATTGCGTGGAGCTCTGCGAGCCTCCGTGGAACGGCGCCTGAGTCGCCACGACGTGGTCATCCTGGACTCGCTTAACTACATCAAAGGTTTCCGTTACGAGCTCTACTGCCTGGCACGGGCGGCGCGCACCCAGCTCTGCCTGGTCTACTGCCTACGGCCCGGCGGCCCGAGCGCGGGACCTCAGGTGGCGGGCGCTAACGAGAACCCGGGCCGGAACGTCAGTGTGAGTTGGCGGCCACACGCTGAGGAGGACGGGAGACCCCAGGCGGCGGGCAGCAGCGTCCTCAGGGAACTGCATACTGCGGGCTCTGTAGTAAATGGAAGTGTCCAGGCCGACGTACCCAAGGAACTGGAGCGAGAAGAATCCGGGACTGCAGAGTCTCCAGCTCTCGTGACTCCGGAATCGGAGAAATCTGCAAAGCATGTGTCCGGTTCCTTTTACTCTCCAGAACTCCTGGAGGCCCTAACGCTGCGCTTTGAGGCTCCCGATTCTCGGAATCGCTGGGACCGGCCTTTATTCACTTTGGTGGGCCTAGAGGAGCCGTTGCCCGTGGCGGGGATCCGCTCTGCCCTGTTTGAGAACCGAGCCCCACCACCCCATCAGTCTACGCAGTCCCAGCCGCTCGCCTCCGGCAGCTTTCTGCACCAGTTGGACCAGGTCACAAGTCAAGTACTGGCCGGATTGATGGAAGCGCAGAAGACCGCTGTCCCCGGGGACTTGCTCACGCTTCCTGGTACCACAGAGCACTTGAGGTTTACCCGGCCCTTGACCATGGCAGAACTGAGTCGCCTTCGTCGCCAGTTTATTTCGTACACTAAAATGCATCCCAACAATGAGAACTTGCCCCAACTGGCCAACATGTTTCTTCAGTATCTGAGCCAGAGCCTGCACTAACCAGAGGAGGTAGGGAGAAGCCATGGCTTCTGATCTCCACTCCACGTTATTTCTCTGGGAAGAATAGGCTGAAGGTCTCCAGAGCATATCGATGCAGTACTGTACTAGAGCTGTTGTGACTGATTCACTCAAACTTTCCTGCATGCCCCTGTGCCAGTCCTTGGGTTTACAGCATAAGTTGAGACTAAAGAGAATGGAGAACTATCGTGGTGCATCCTGGCAAATCCCTCCAGAGGACGGAGCTCAGGTGGACAGGGATTGCCTAGATGGGATCCTACTTGGGTTATCACAGAGCGTTGACCATTGGCTTCCTTCATCTGAGGCGTGGGAGAGCAGACTGGATGGATGAGAATTGTTTTAAAACAATTGTGAACAGAAACTGAAGATGGCACAGTTCTACATCTGCACCTGCCCTTTTATCATACCACAAAAGTATTTTTTGAGTACTGTACTGACTTTTTGCTAGTCTCTATTCTGGGACTGAGTTCACAGATAACTACATTGGTGTCTGTCCTTGGGAAACTTTTGTTTTTGTGGAAGTAAGCAAGTTATCTACTAGATTATTTCCTCTAATAAAATCTTTAAAAATAGTCTACTGGAATTTCTTTCACTTAATGTTCCCTGTGTAACTTTCATGTTAACATTTTAGGTATACTTGTCATTGTTCCTTTAAGTGAAGTAGTATTTTGATAGTTCTGAGAGAGTAAATGTTTTGATCTACTCTAGAGTAATTATGTTGTGACAATTTCCATAACTGTTGTGCTTCATTCTGTATTTCAAGGCAAATATTGTAAGCTTGTCAGTTTCATTCTTCATTGATTTCATTGAACAAATGAAATTAAAGTAGTACTTACTTTAACAGTGCCTGTGATTTTCAAAGACCAATTAGATACAGTATTTTTGCTCTTGAGATATGTGGTGAGAAGCTGGGTGTGGTGGTTCATGCTCATAATCCCAGCAGTTTGGCAGTCCGAAATCGAGGTGAGGAATTCGAGACCAGCCTGGCCAATGTGGCAAAACTCCGTCTCGTCTCACAATACAAAAATTAGTCGGGCATGATGGTGTACCTGTGTACCTGTAATGGTGTACCTGTAATCCCCAGCTACTCTGGAGGCTGAAGCACGAAAATTGCTTGAACCTGGGAGGTGGAGATTGCAGTGAGCTGAGATCACACCACTGCACTCCAGCCTGGGCAACAGCGAAACAGTGAAACTCGAAAAACAAAGAGATATGTGGTGAGAAATACAAGTAAAAGATACAATTATGCTGGGTGCAGTGGCTCACGCCTGTAACTCCAGCACTTCGGGAGGCCGAGGCGGGTGGATCAATGAGGTCAGGTGTTCAAGACCAGCCTGACCAACATGGTGAAACCCTGTCTCTACTAAAAATACAAAAAGTAGCCGGGCGAGGCGGCCTGTGCCTGTAATCCCAGCTACTTAGGAGGCTGAGGTAGGAGAATCGCTTGAACCTGGGAGGCGGAGGTTGCAGTGAGCCAAGATTGTGCCACTGCACTCCAGCCTGGGTGAGACAGTAAGACTCCGTCTCAAAAAAAAAAAAAAAAAAAAAAAAAAAGGATGAAATGGGCTGGTGGTCAGAGGATGATGACAAAGGATAAAATGTTTTGGAAACCTGGTGAAAAAGACTAGCTGTTGGGAGAGGTGGTTTTGGAAAGGTTTTATAGAGGAGTTAACACTTGAACCATCACTCTAGAATAATGTCAGTAAAGGGCCAAATAGTAAATGTTTTTAGGCTTTGTGGACCATGAAATACTGTTGCTACTTATAGATGGTAAGTAAACATGAGCATGAATGTATTTTAATAAAACTACACTCAACTGTGAATTACAGTTTTAACATCACAAAGGAGTCTTTTAGATTTGCTTTGCAAACATTGAAAAGTGTAAAAATATACAACAAAACATTTGCATATCATGGGCCCTGTGGAAGCAGACAGTGGGCTGGATTTGGCCTGCAGACCCTAGTTTGCCGTCCCCTGCTCTAGAAGGATAAATAGATGTTTGCCAGGGAGAAAAGAGAAAGCAAGACATTCTAAAACATGCATGCTCTGAAACTATGGAGCTATTAAAAGATGGGGTAGATGGGCTGCCTTGGTTCATGGTATATTCCTTGCTTGTGAGGTAATCTACACTACCTTTTGTTTCTGATAAACAGGAGGATTCATGTGTGAAATGGAGTTTGGATGAGGCAAACTCAGAAGGCTTTTTCCAACCTTCATTCAGTTGGTTATTGATTGAATTGGGTTTAACCATGGATTCTGGGTTACCATTCTAAATTGAAGGAGACTGTAACAGAAAGAACATTGGTTTTGAAGTTGGACTTCTGAGTTACCTAGTAAGTGGCAGAACCTTGGGTTTTGTTTTGGGTTTTTATATTTATTTATATATTTATCTATTTATTTATTTATTTTTGAGACAAGGTCTGGCTGTCTCCCAGGCTGGGGTGCAGTGCTGTAAGTAGCTGGGACTAGAGGCACGCACCCCATGATGGCTAAGTTTCATATTTTTTTGTAGAGACAGGTTTTCACCATGTTGCCCTGGCTGGTCTTGAACTTAAGTGATCTTAAGTGATCCCCCAGCCTTGGCCTCCCAAAGTGCTGAGATTACAGGTGTGAGCCACTGCTTCCAGCCTAGAACCTAGATTTTATGTGGCCAAATATTTACTGTATTGAGCATTTCAGTTTTCTCATTTCTATTGTGAGACCATTAATAGTATCTACCCTAGGGTTATTTTGAGGATTTAGATGAGATAATGCATATACAGCACAATGTCATATAATAAACGTTCAGCACATTTTGGCTACTATAGTTACCTATATCCTACTACCCACCTAAACTTGCCCTGCTCATTTGGTTTACAAGCTTTTATAAGTATTGCAGGCAGAAGTCCATCCAGATGTGAGGTAGGCCTAAGGTGAGGAGGCTGAATGATTCATTTGACACTTACTAAATGGATTAATTTATGTATATTTACAGTAGTGCCTGGCACATGGCAAATGCTATATAAGTGTTTGCTATCAATAATATATGTGTCAGATGTAAGGGATATAGAGGCAGCTAAGAGTTCTTTGTCTTAGGAATCTCCAAGTCCAGTGGAGGGAGATGGGTAAATAATAGATACAGATCAATATGTTAAATGCATGGTAGCTATTATACAGTGTATGTTATGGTGACATGGGGTTGTGTGATGGCGAAAGCCAATGGCTACCTACCTACATGGGGTCTTCCAACTGTCATTTGAGCCTTGAGAGCTTAAGAGCTTCCTCTAGCCAGTCTGGTTCAGGTGGATTGCATTGCTCATTGTGAACACTTTCCTCCCTGATTATAAAAATTATACTGTAGAAAAATCATGAAATATAGATGTAGTATAGGAAAACATCCACAGTGCCATCATCCACAGAAAACTGCTATTATGTTTTGGTACATTTAGGCTCTTTTCTCTGTACATATTTTATAATTAAAACCAGACTATAGATACTTCTGTATCCTAGTTTTTTATATAAGCTACCAATTAAAAATTATTATTTTCAATGATTATATAATAATAATCATTTAGAAATGCTATTAACATTTTTTTTTTGTTTTGAGACAGAGTCTGTTCTGTCTGCTAGGCTGGAGTGTAGTGGTGCGATCTCGGCTCGCTGCAACCTCTGCCTCCCAGGCTCAAACAATTCTCATACTTCAGCCACCCCGGTAGCTGGGACTACAGGCGTGTGCCACCACACCCAGCTAATTTTTGTATTTTTAGTAGAGGCAGGGTTTTGTTATGTTGGCCAGGCTAGTCTTGAACCCGTGGCCTCAAGTGATCCGCCCACCTCAGCCTCCCAAAATGCTGGGATTGCAGGCATGAGCCACCATGCCCAGCCCTCCCTAACTTTAAAGCCCAAATTTGTAGAATTTACAGAAATGCTAGAATTTATCAATAATTTTGTTAGAGCAATTACCTATTATTATTGAACATTTAAGTTGTCTAATGATTTTCCCAATTGAAATAATACTACAGAAATGTCTTCATATATTAATCTTCACCTCATTAAATTTCAAGAAGTAGAATTACTAGATTATAATTTCTTTGTTTTGCTTTTAAGTGGACTGCCCCTGATGGTGATTATTCATAAATCCTGGTGTGGAGCTTGCAAAGGTAAGTGTAAGTGCTCAATCTAAATACAAAACTCAGATGTGTTGTCAAATATTAACATTTAACAAATATTGGCACTGACTCTGGCCCAGCACTGCTGACTGTTGAAGGAATACTAAAGAAATATATGACATAGATTTCCTGCCTTCATGAAATTTGCAATTATATTTGGAGAGGATTTTAGGGAAGGTAAGGGGATTAAGATACAGTTATGTCAGGCCAGGCACGGTTGCTCATGCCTGTAATCCCAGCACTTTGGGAGGCCGAGGTGGGAGGATCACGAGGTCAGGAGTTCGAGACCAGCCTGGCCGATATGGTGAAACGTCGTCTCTACTAAAATACAAAAGTTAGCTGGGCGTGGTGGTGCGTGCCTGTACTCCCAACTACTCGGGAGGCTGAGGCAGGAGACTCGCTTGAACCTGGGAGGTGGAGGTTGCGGAGAGCCGAGATTGTGCCACTGCACTCCAGGCTGGGCAACACAACGAGACTCTATCTTGAAAAAAATAAATACAGTTATGTCACGTATGGGATTAAGTGCTAAAATATCACATGAACAATACATATTAGAGGAAGCTGAAATGTACAGACAGAGACATGAGAAGGATGTAGGAACCAAATTAGAACCCAAGTTATCTGACTCTGTGGCATGTGTTCTTTCTGCTATACCACCTTGCCACTTCTGCAGACAGGTTTTTTCTTTTATTTGGTATGCTACACTTAAAGTCCTAGATGGAAAAGGAGTGTAAAAAATAGTTAGTGGAAAAAGCCAGGTGCATGTAATACCAGCACTTTGGGAGGCTGGGGTGGGAAGATCACTTGAGGCCAGGAGTTGACCAGCCTGCCCAACATAGTGAAACCCCGACTCTACTAAAAATACAAAAAAATTAGCTGGGTTTGGTGGCACGTGCCTGTAATCCCAGCTACTCAGGAGGCTGAGAATTCCTTGAGCCTGAGAGGTGGAGGTTGCAGTGAGCTGAGATCATGCCACTGCACTCCAGTATGGGCGACAGAGTGAGACTCTGTTTCAAAAATATTAATAATATATATACACATACATATATGTATACACACACACACATATATACACCTGTGGCAGACTCACTCTATTGTTTTTCACTTCAATGGTTTTTGAAATGTAACTATGAAAAGCAAATAATGCATTTCCCCCAATTTGTATGCCATTATCCTTATTTTATAAATGAGGTAACAGCTTCAGAGAAATGAGGTAAGTCACTCAAGGTCACATAGCTATGCAGGTTCAGAATCCAGGTAGGCTAATTCCTCTTTTTGAGAGTGTAAAAAAAAGTTTGTTATGTGAATCATCTCAATAAATGCCTAAACTACCAAAGAGAAATAGTGTTGCTTATGTTTATTAAGGTTTGGTTGTGACAATGATGTTTTTTCTTCTATTCCAAAACCTTTTTTCCCCCCAGCTCTAAAGCCCAAATTTGCAGAATCTACAGAAATTTCAGAACTCTCCCATAATTTTGTTATGGTAAATCTTGAGGTAAGACTTTGAGAGTTTCTCCTTTCTGCTATGATTTTAAGACTTTTAAAATTAGCATCATTTGTGCATATTCATTATAGCTTCATTAGTGGTATAGTGGTATAAAAGTCAAATTTGTGTATGTGTTTTTCTCTTGACCTCTAATACTAAGGCTTGCATCAGATATGTTAGAAAACCATCTAACATCTATTTCTGGCA